CATGGGATTTTTCCGGATGCTGGGGGGGGTTCCTGAGCCGCTTTTTTTTTCCTTCAGAATTCCGTTTGAAGGGAAAAGCGGAGTCCAGGGGAGCAGGGCTGGATCCCGGGAGCTGCCGGAGCTCTCCGTGGGGTTTTTGGTTGGAAAATCCCTGGAAAAGTGGTGGGAGATGATCCGTGGTGGAGGCACCGGCTGGATCTGGGAGATTTCCCTGTTCCGGGTGATCCCAGCTAAATCCACCCCAGGGATTCCCCATTCCATGGATCCCTCATCTGCCATTCCCTGCGGCCCCATCCCAGATCCCATCCCAGCTGATCCCGGCTCCAGATCCCACTCAGGGTGATCCCAGGTGATCCCTATCCCAAATCCCACACCAAATGATCCTCCAGGACCCGTTCCAGGTAATCCCTACTCTAGATGATCTCCCAGATCCCATTCCAGGTGATCCCTGGCCCAGATTCCACACCAAATGATCCTCCAGGACCTATTCCAGCTGATCCCTATCCCAAATCCCACACTGGATGATCCTCCAGGATCCATTCCAGGTTATCCCTACCCTGGCTGATCTCCCAGATCCCATTCCAGGTGATCCCTATCCCAGATCCCACACTGGACGATCCCACAGGTCCAATCCCAGGTGATTCCTATCCCAGATGATTCCCAGTTCCTATCCTGGGAGATCCCTGGCCCAGATCCCACACTGGATGATCCCACAGGACCCATCCCAGCTGATCCCTACTCTGAATCACACACTGGATGATCCCATGGGATCACTACCCCAAATCCCACACAGGATGATCCCACAGGATCCATCCCAGGTGATCCCTACCCTGAATCCCACACTGGATGATCCTCCAGGATCCATTCCAGGTGATCCCTTCTCTGGATGATCTCCCAGATCCCATCCCACATGATCCCTATCCCAAATCCCACACCAGATGATCCTCCAGTTCCCATCCCAGCTGATCCCTATCCCAAATCCCACACCGGATGATCCCACAGGATCCATTCCAGGTGATTCCCTATCCCAGATCCCACACCGGATGATCTCCCAGATCCCATTCCAGGTGATTCCCTATCCCAGATCCCACACCAGATGATCTCCCAGATCCCATTCCAGGTGATCCCTATCCCAGATCCCACACCGGATGATCTCCCAGATCCCATCCCAGCTGATCCCTATCCCAAATCCCACACCAGATGATCCCACAGGATCCATTCCAGGTGATTCCCTATCCCAGATCCCACACCGGATGATCTCCCAGATCCCATTCCATCTGATCCCTATCCCAGATCCCATCCTCCAATCCCCATCCCCAGGTGCAGGGAACATCCTGACCGAGTTTTAGGGTGGAAAATCGGGACGTGGAGGGATCAGGGAGAGAACCGGGATCCCCCAAACTTCCCAAGTTCATCCTCTGGAGCTCCATCCATTTAATTAGGAACCAACAGCAGATGGAATT